CACCAGTGAGGCTGTTTATCTGATTGTAGGACAGGTTTAATCGTGTTAGGTTCACAAGGCCATTAAGTCCTGAGGTAAAGGGATGGTTCATTAACTACTGAGTGACTTTACAGCTCATAAAGCAGTAACAATAACACCAAGGTAAACACAAGACTCTGTAATTCATAATTATTACTTGAAGAACACATACAAAACTGAAATATTTATTTGAATAATGACTAAAGACTCACCTTCAACCTTGGTGATTAAGTTACAGGATAAATTTAAAGTCCTCAGGGAGGTGAGGGAACTTAGACCCTCAATCTTACAAATGCAATTGGAGGAAAGGTCCAAGTGCCGCAGGTGCCAAGCTGAAGTCAGGCCCTCGATCCTTGGGATGTGATTGCAGTGCAGACTGAGTGAGGTTACAGTGGGACTCAGGGGGACATCCAGCAAACTAGACAGAAAGCAATAAGGTGAAACAACAGAATTAACCACGGAAGACAAATACGTTTGTGCCCTGTAGGAAAAAGTTTCTAATTATTCTTTAACTGTTTAGTCTATTTAAAGTCCCAAAAACTAGTCACAAGTTTGGAGAGCTCAAAAAGGATGTCTTTAAAATGTGCTACTAAAGAAAAGTTTACATATAAATGTAAAACACAAAGCCTCATATTTAACTGGAATCTACAAAAAAACGTATTTGGTATTTTTGTTTAATTTAATGTTTGAAATAATCAATTATCAATACTGTCTGCAATCAACTTCATTTAGAAAGTGGTTCCTAACCTTTCGGGGTGGTGGCCCCTAAACATGAAGCCAGATCTACAAGTGATCTCTCGTCCATAATGTACACACGAATGATTGATTTCTTTTTTTCCATTCAGCTATTTTGATAATCAATCAATACCATTTTGGGCGATGTTATAGTGGAGTGAATTTTTTTATTTTTACTGTCAGTCAAAACAGGCAATATAAAGACATAATTTTAGGTATTGAGGAATTGGGATGAGGACTTATCAGTGCAGCACAGGGATATTACGATATTATGATTACTTAATTGCTACACTACTTAAAAAGTGTAACTCTATTATATATCTGGAAGCTATAACTACTCACAAAATACAAACGTGGTGATCTACGTTAATAAAATATGAGTAAGTGCTACTGATAAAGCTTCTCAACAGTATATATATATAATAAATATATATATAAAACTGCTGTTTAACTGTTAAAATCAACTAGTCCTTGGCTGTTTTACACATTAATGCATCAGTAACGCTGACAGGAGCCATTCTGCTGCATGGTGAGCGCTTCAGACATTTGCAGTGCATTTTAATAAAACAATAAAACTGAACTAACCTTGTTATATTCTTGTCAATGAGACTCAGCTCCTTGTCTCCCATGACAACGACACGCAGCGACCGTTAACCGTTAAAAGTGCAGAAAACCTGCTAGTAATTAGCCACCTAGCATCCCAGCAAAAGTTCCACCAGAGATCGAGCTGAGGACACAAACTGTCGTCGCCGTTCACAGAGCAGAGTTATTGCAAAAGTTAACAAGTAGTAGTGTTACATTTTTGTTTGTGAGTCGGTTAAAATAAGTGTTGTTGTTTTTAAGCTTCTCCTCCGTCGAGTTGAACTAGCCGCTTCTGGCTTCCGACTTCCTGTTTTTAAGACGTTGCTAACGGCAACATCCGGGAAACCTTCACGTAACGATTATTTAAAAAATAAAAAAGTGTATTAAATTACATTTAATAGCTAATAAATAAAAAATCACTGTATTGAATAATTTACTGTACTGAAACCACAATGTTCTAGTGGTTATAAGTTTTTACAGAGTAAGTTTTACATTCCCAGCCTGAATAGTTTTAAATTATTAATATCTTCTGTAAAAGGTGATCTAGTTTCTTCACTGAGGTCCAGTAGATCTCCGCCATATATTAAACTATATTAACAACATGATAATGGCCTGATGTTCAGTTCACAGTACAGTACTACATTTACAATAATGCAATATAATTTTCTTTGGACCCTGTCCACTTCTTTGACACTCATCACCTCTAGTTCATAGCCAGATTCTGTGCTAATAACATAAAGTTTCAAGGTTTTATAACTGTAAATGTTCAAATTTCTACTACTACTCAAAGTGCAGTTATAGAAAGTTATAGAGTTATAGAAAACAGCAGCTGACAAAACAATGTCAGCTCAATTAATGACTTTAAATCAAGTAACTTGGTCTTCGTAACCAGAAGAAGCTACTAAATGGACCTTAAGATGAGCTTGTTTTTTTTTTCTTTAGCTGAATATTTCAAGGTAAAGAGTGAATTTTGAAACTCACTGATGTTATTATAAACCAAAAACATGTTGCATACTGACAAAATTCATGTAATGGTGTTGATCACTCACACATCATTATTGTGTTGTGTTTATCTGACAGTGTTTGAGTGTTGAAGCTTAGCCAAAATTAGTAAGTAAGTAACTTCACAAGTCTAAAAATGTGGTAATTACAGACATTTTCTGCTGTTGAACAAAAAAAAAAGACCCCTACAAGCGTGTTTATGCCTGCGAAAACAGAAAAGTTTTGGTGTATAATGGCTGGATGGATAAATGGCTCTTTGCTTAAGAATGTAACCTCTGTATTATGTTTTCAGCTATTTTCATCTGTTGATTAAGACCAAGAAGGAATGTCTCCTCAAATCCTTCTAACTCATCAAATCTGAATTTAAACACTGATTTATTACCAAAAATAGAGCTAGTAGAGCATTAATATTGGCATTTGGCCTATTCTATATCCATCTTACACACACCTTAAAAAATATGTGAGAGTAAAAGTCAAAAGAGTCGTAAGTGAAATATATTAATTTGGACTGTGGAGAACAACGAGCTAGAAGAACATAAAGCTGATGAAACTTTGCAATCTTGGAATTATTTATAGAGCAATATATAAATATATAAATGGGCTCTTTTTATGCTTGCTTTGCCTAACATGTAATTCATAAAACTTCCTACATTAGCTCAGTCTTTGACTTATAGGCCTGTGATACAAAGCTTGGTGCATTTTGTGCATCTTCGCCTAACTATGTCTAATCACAGATGTATTATAAAGATCCTGACCCCTATTATACTCATAATTCCTCCAGCAGCTACAGGCCGGTGATTGATTCAGTTCATCACACACTGAACATTGTCCATATTAGAGGAACTGCATGACTTATCATTGTACTCACTGGCTGCTAGCCAGCGATGATAGAACCAATTATACCTGCAACCCAGCCAGTGGCCCTCCTTAACCTGAGAAAATGATGATCTGGTGCTAATGAAGTGAGTGAATTAGAAATGCCATCTGCCTCACCACCACTTAACTCTCAGAGGCTGTAGTTTTCAAGGGCACTGTGTTTAAAAACTTAGATGAATACTCTCATTGCCAATTAGAGAACAGTGCAGAACGTATAGGAATGCTATAATTAAATTTGAGTAGGGAATTTGTACATTTAGCATCATCCTGTGCCTTTATTTTCACCTTGATGCTGCATCGGTTTTGAAAAATGGCTTGAGGGTGGAGGGAGAAGTTACACAGAAGTATAACTTTAGTTAGAGTCAGACAGTTAATTTGCAATGTTATTTCTGACGTTATTCAACATTAATAAGATGAAGCTGTGCTAGTGTGCTAGCACTTTGAGCTAAATCAGCATGCTTACATATTGAAGTTAAGAATGTTTTTACATTTACCATGTTTACCATCTTAGTTCAGTGTGTTGGCTGATAGGAATGGTATTCATTTTGCATAAACCAAAAGTATTGGGCGATCTAAACTTTTTACTTGATGGCTGAGATAAAAAGAGGGATCACGCTCTGATGAAGGCCATGAGGCTGAAACATATTTTTCCGACATGGACAAAATAAATTGGTGTAATTGAGATTAAATCTGTGTGCTACTTTTTATGCCTTTGGGTGTTCATCCTGGGTTCAACACTGGAACTTAAGACTTTGATTTAGCACTACAAACAAAATACTGGGAAGGCGCATCCTCTCTAAGATCTAAATAAAAAGAGTTACTACAGTTCATCATTGCGGTGGTGAAGTATTCAGATCCATTACTGAAGTATAAAACACACACACAGTAAAAATACTCCATTACATGTAAAAGTCCTGCATTGAAAAGTATCAATAGTAAAAGTACAAAATGCTAAGAAATGTTATATTAACATAAGATTGTTATTACTCACACAAAGCAGCATTTTACTGTTGGTTACAACTAATTTAAACTAAAATTAAATTAATTAATCTGCTGATTATTTTCTCAGTTAATCACTAAATTGTTTGGTTTGTAAAACAATAGTGAGCAACGCTGTTACAATCAGTCCAAAGTAACACACTCACACTGTTTGTTTGACAAAATCATTAAAATAATTGCAGTGAAAAAGCAGCAAATCATCACGTTTGAGTGGAAGTAGTTTTAAATAAATGTTTTGTCAATCAACTAATCAGTTCATCTCTAATTATATATACTGTTCGGTAGTTTAATAAACTATAACTGTAAAATAATTGTGGAGTATAAAGTGCAACATGTCCCTCTGTTAGAAGTACAATACAAAGTATACAGTGGGATGAAACTACCTCATTTTTGAGATTTTCAGTCAAACCCACTAATATCAACCTCATGTTGGCACTAAATGAAAAGTGAGATAATCACCAAATGATTTATCCTCTGAGGATCACGAACGTCTGAGAAATCCTTCCCAAAATACAATAGTTGTATTTAAAAAAAAATATTTAAGTCTGGACCAAACCAACAGACTGACGTTGCCATGAAAAAAGGAGGAAAAAGTTAACATTTAAGTTTCCAGTGTTACTTCTCCCACCATAGGAGGTAAATAAAAAAAGATTGTTCCAGTTGTTTTGCAAGAGAAAATAAAGTTTTTTGTACTGAGCAGAAGCCCCCCACAGAAACAGAGTGTGCATTTCTTTTTGTTTGTGAAAATAAAAGCCACAACACTCTTCTTTTTTTTGTTGGGAGGAACGGGTTTATTTCAAAAACTGATATCATCCATAGCTGTACAACAGATGCAATGAATACAAATGATCCATAATAGCCACTTTTTTTTTTAACATGCTGATAGTAAAAAATAGTCATCTTTTGTTTCCCGTAAACAGAATGTAAACAGAATTCAAAATGCATCTTATCATGTACAACAAATGACAAACATGATATGCATACAATACTGTGTGGAGGCATTGTGAATAAATAACATACTGTACAGTTCAGCTAAATGTACGAATAAAGCAAAATCACATCATAATCAAGTGTCAAAGAAAGTGTGTTCCTCTTACATTCATATTTAGCTCTCTGCCAGCATCGCGGCTCATCACAGTTTTCAACGCACACAAACAAAACACACATACATCTGCGGTACAACATAAGGATTCGTGATTCATCTGATTGACCACATAACTGTATTTTTATGCACAATACAGACCATAATATATTAAGCACACAATATATTGTCCTTTATTTTCCAAAGAGGCAATCAGTTTTAAGGGAGATTATCGATTGCTATTTGCAGTTGATCTTGCAGTAGTCTGGAGATTATTCATAACCAGCATTTTGATGAAGTACACATCAGAAGTGTCGTTTTCTAATGAGGCAAACAAGCAACAAACAAGTTTGAAAAACTCTCCTTCTGCTGTCAGTCACTCCCGTCATTTCCTTTCATTTCAAATACACCTCCTTGATCAAGAAGGTTTTGCTGGTATCTGTTCTCCCAACTTCTTGTACCGAAGGCTTCCTTTTCCCCCCAAACTTGAAAAAAAAAGATAAAAAAACAGACATAATGCAGTGAAAATTCATTATATTTATATTATATGTTTCACAGTGAACCTATGTAGAAAAAAGTGGTGGCTACAGCCACTGCTTTAGCTGCAAAGATTGTCCAGTGAGATGGGTGGAAAAACAGAGGAGGCTGGGGGGCTGTGACTAACGTTAATGTTCCTCATATTACCTGCAAACCACTGAGATATCCACCTGAGGACAAACAGTTCATTAGGCCATCATCTTAACGATCCGTCATGTTCAGAGCGGATGAAAAGGATTTTCGTTGCCGGGCACTTGAGGACAGTGGAGGAGCAGGGATTTGCCAAAAGGCAAATTAAATCTCATAGCTATTTGTTCATACAAAGAAAATCAGGGGATTTAAATGTCGTCTGATGGAAAGTGCGGATGAGACAGAGTCCTATCTCTGCGGCTGTTCAGACAGTCAGCAGTGATAACTGCAGAGAAGCTGCCTTTCCTTACGCTCCCAGACGGAGAGAATGACAGGCCATTTAGAAGAGCAGTGTTTCTCACTCTCACTCTGCTTAAAAGTGGAAAAACAAGCCTCAGATCTTTTGAGCCGCTGCTGCTGCTGACTACAAGTTGTTGGGCACAGAGAGAGGTACTGTGCATGTTATGCACAGTACCATACCTAACGTATGTTATCCAGACAGTGTTCGATTTCTATTCACAATATAATGAATGAATTCCAGACGGTTTATTTGACAATGGTCCATATAAATAAAGAATGATGGCCTTTCAAGGAGAGATTAAATACTGACCTTACTCAGTTGTCAATGTCTGATATGTGGTTCTCTATCTGCAATTAGAAGAAAACAATAAATCACTGTCATGACATTAGTGAGATAACTGGCCAGCAAGATAGTCTTTTTTCAATTCCTATTCATTTTAAATAATGAATTTTAAATTAACATGTGTTTTTATTAACTTGTAAGTTTGTTGTTTTCATGAATCGAATAATTTATTATTGAGAACTATTTCTAAGGCCACTAAAATCTTTGCTACATGTTTTTGGTTTATAATACCATCAGTTTTAGGTAATTCTGGTTCACCGTTTTTTTATATTTTTCCACAATAAATAAGGATACAAAAAGTGATTTAGAGATACAGATATACCGATACACACAATGACACAATATTGAAGAAAATAAAAATAAAAATAAAACACATACTGTACAGTTTATTAGTTAATTATTCTGTCATAAGCTACATTTATTCATCAGAAAGTACAGAGGTGGTTGGGTAACTTGGTTTTCAGGTGGTGCATAATCACCATATTTTTGGGGACTTTTTGTGCCATGGCCAGGCAGCTTGAGAGGCCATTCAGCCACTGATTGACAGTTGGTGCTTCAGATTTTTCTATTGAAGAGCAAAACAGTATTTTGCCTGTAAGATACAAAGACTGACCAGTTTCACATTAGATTTTGATAATTTCACTTAATCAGGAAAGAGACTTCCCTAAGTTATACATTATTATAAATTATATTATATACTAATACACATAATAATAGGGTAATAATTCTATATTTAAAAACAATTTTTGTTTTAGCATTTTCCATTATCTTACCTTAAATCATTTGAGCTCCCACTTTGGAAAACACTGGACTAATGTTGGTTTTGGAATTCATAGGATTTGCTCATTATAAGAAAAATAAAGCCTTATTTTTAACACCAGTGAAATGATCACTTTTTGTTAACTGTGAAGAAGGTTTAAACGTTTTCTAAAAATAAAAAAAAACAAAAATAGTTTTTGTATCAGTATACAAATGATGATGATGCTTTATTTTATGGATTCATAATTTCCTACTTATATCTTAAGTGGCTTCCTGGAAAGAACAAGTACATACTTACAACTTACAGGAAAAACAGCAATTGCCTTGAAATAACTGTTCCATGTAAACCAAAGTACATAATGCATTCATTTATGATTCATTCATCATTATAAACTTTACTCTTTATGTTGAATTGCGTGCTTGTTTGTACGAACTTTTCATTTTCTCCATGTTCAGCCGGCCTGTGTGCACCAAATAAAAGACTCTGGGTTGTTAATTATTTGACTGGAAGTGTACCAACTGAACTCTCTGTTTTCCCTACGATATGTACCGAATTCAGCAGTTCCAGGAAACACATGCAATTATTATAAAAGGTTACAGACGTGGTTAGCCCTGAAGGCATTGTATTGGCCAGCCTTAGTAATAGGAGAGACATAATTGTTGATTGTCTATCTAGTCTATTGAAATGAGCAGAGAAATGTAGTCCATGCTCGGGCACGACTTATCCTTTAAAAAGGAGCAGTTAGACATTTTTGGCAACACATTTACACACTTTCTTGAGGAGGGTTAGACGAAATAATGTATACCAGTTTCATATCTGTAGGGTAAATATAAAGCTAGTGTAAGATTATCTTAGCCTAGCATAAATACCGGAAACGGGGGGAAACAGTTAGCCTGGCTTGAAATGTAACAAGATCTGCTTACCAGCACCTCTACAGATCACTAATTACCACAATATATCTTGTTTGTTTTTTTTACATTTTACCTGTAAGTATATACAACCATTTCTTGGCTGGGGCCAGTCATTTCCTGGTTGCCTGGCAACTGCAACTGCTCAGAGCCAAGAATTTGTTAGATTGAAAAAATAAAGATAATATATAACATTTTAATTAATGAGCATTGGAGGTGCTGGTAGACAGGGACAGGCTAGCTGTTTCCAGTCTTTATGCTAAGCTAAGCTAACTGGGTTCTGGCTAAAGCTTCTTATTTACCGAATGTAAATGAGATTGGTGTCTCACGAAACTCATGAAAAGCAAATAATTGTATTTCACAAAATGTCAAGCTATTACTTCAACGCCAGGGATTATGACTTTCACCGTGTAAAATATACACATACCTTAAATGTACAGCTAATTTACGCACAGCAATGTGACAGAAACATCCACTTCACACTCAGAAGTGCATTAAAAAAGGTCCAGTAACATTTAGGAGGCTCTATATGTTCACTTACATATGTTTTCATTTCAAGAATCGTTTTCTTTTCACTACCGTAGAATGAGCTGTTCTAAAGAGGGAGGCTGTCGTGTTGAACCGCCATGTTTCTACAGTAGTCCAGAAAGGACAAATCAAACACTGGCTCTAGATAGGTCTGTTGTGTTTTGCAGCCACCGTAGTTTCTCCTTCGCGGTTTGTGCTAGCGAGGGAGTTGCAATCTGCAACAAAACCACTAGAGGCCACTAATTCCTGCAGACTGGACCTTGAAGACCAGCTTGTATTGTAGACTCATACAAACTCTCTTTCTCACACAGAGAAAGATCCCGGTGAACGACATTATCCTCGCGTTCACTTTCAGAGACTCAGTTAGCCCACTCACTCCTTGTTGAGACAGTTAATGGCTACTTGTCCGGCTCACCATATCGCTGGTTCCTTCATCTTCAAAGTCGTCTTCGCCGCCGTCCGTCATCTCCCCCGCCTCCACCTCGACTGTCCCCTCCGCTTCCTCGCCACCAGAGTGGTCTGCTGCGTCACCATGGAGACACTCACACACCTCGTCTTGTTTCCTCTGCATCTCTGGAAAAAGAGGGAGAGAGCGAGACAGAGAAAGACGGGCAGTTAACATCAGAGCATAACAGATTTATTGAATTGATTATTATTTCTACTAATAGAATAATATTTCTCCCAGACAAGGCACTCTATAAAGCTTTTATATTTACGTTATCACTTCGCCCTGTATGTGTCTTTCATTTCAGTACCTCGCAAGCACTCTGCCTCTTCCCCATATATATATGCATGCAGACAGGTCCTCCCCCTCCCCTCTGTCAAATCTTACCGCCATCAGAGCGATGTTGCCTCTCAATCTTCTCCAGCCTTCCCAGCAGTGAGTCAATCTTGGTCTTGATCTGTGACAGCTCCTTTTTGATTGTTAGGAGCTGGTCTGTCTTCACTGTGAGCATACATAAATAAAGTTAAAAAAGCATCATTAATGTGATGTTTGACAAGGAGCTACTGCACTGCTCTGACAAGTCTCAACAGCAAAGTTCATCGCCAGAAATGTGGCTGAGGCAGAAATAGTGAAAGGGCATATGAAGAGAAGCCCGAGTTTTTATTTCATTGCATTATGGGAATACTGATTAGTAACTGTAAGAGTACGAGCAGTGCAAAGTTTACTGAATCTTATTTTTGTAGCTTTCACAAACGATGCATAGAGGTTGTGCACATTCAGACAAAAAACAGGGGAGCCAGTGGGAGCTTGGCTCCTCTTAATAAGACATGAGCTCCACTGAAAACATAAAACTTTAATAATTAAAAATTTTAATAATTTAATAATCATGCATTTCTAGTTAAATGTATCTTCATCATCATGGATCAATTCACTTATATAAAAGATTGTTGTCATCACCATCAAAGTGTGGTGGCGCACCATCCTAAACTTCAAATCACTTCAACCCAAAGATCAGAAGAAAAAAAATGAACTTATTCCCAATCAAATTGCCATTATTCCCTAAAAATAGGGAGGACAGAAAGGTATAGTTTGCACACTGCATCTAGATACATTTAAGGCAGGTGCTGGACCAATAGAAGATTGAAAACATGGAATCAAACGGATCTGCACATTTTTGTAGTCTTAAACATCATTACTATCAGTAATAATAATAAAAACACTCACCAAGTTAAAGAAATATTTTTTTAAAAACGTGTTCTGACTTTGTGGCTGTTGAATGAGAGACTATAGGTGGTTTTGTTACCTACAGACAGATTGAGGCTAACTGTTTCCCCATTTCCAGTCTTTGTGCTAAGCTAAGCTAACCATCTGCTGGCTGTAGCTTCACATTAAACAGACACATACAAGAATCATCAGTCTTCTCATGTAACTCCTGCAAGAATGTGAGTAAGTATATTTCCCAAAATGTAATTTAAACCTGCACTGATGGATTTTTCAGGCCATTTGGGGGCAGAACAGTCAATTAACAGAGAAAATGTGTTTTTCGCTCTGCCATTATAGTGATGTTGCAATGTTTCCAGATCACTTTGTTGATAACTAAAAGACCCAAGTTGTAAAAAAACCACAATTTCCCCAGAGCAGGAAGAAATGACTTAATAGAAACACAAAGAGACAAAGAGAACATACGTTTAGGTGCTGTGACGGAAGAGCTGACGTTGAGTGCTCGGGAGGAGGAAGAGGAGGAGGAGGAAGAGGAGGAACAGGCCCTGACTGGAAAAGAGGATTTGGCTCTGCGTGTGGAGGGGACGACTAGCCGTGAACGCTTGATGGGGATCACAGCCCGGGTCGGGGGCACGACACGACCGTGGTACTCAAAGAGTCTGAAGACACATGAAAAACAAAAATTGCAGCAATCTTAGCAACAAGAGAAATGATACAAAAAAAATGTATTACAGTGCAGAAAGACACATCTTTTAAAAGCAGAATATCTGGATGTATTATGGGCAGTGAACAGCAAAGTGTCACATCAAAGTTTTTCCCAGGAGTCACTGCTGCAGCCCCTAGATGCTGTTATTTGAACAACAGGAAGTGTTTACAAAGCGCCTAACAGAAATGCCGCAAAAATATGTTTGAATGATAGCGGTACATATTGAAGAACATCACAGCCATTCAATCAAATCCTGTTCCCCGCTGCCTACGACATACCAAATTGCCAAAATAGCAATAATGACTTAAAGCTGAAGGATTCAACTCTCAGGGATATTGCAAAGTAGAGGAAGTAAACAAACCAATGAAAATGTCAGAAGGAAGATACATTCTCTGCCTCGGCAGCGCAAATGACCAGCCGGGGGACTATCTGACATTCAGTACTCGTCTATGCGGATAAAAGCATCATTAGTAAGCCCAACGGAGAAGAATAAAAACCTCCCCAATATGACATTCATTATGCCTATGATAATGTAGTTACTTTGCCTCAGATGGAAATGGGACTATTCTGCTCAGAACTCATCTTTATCTAAGTAGCTGACTCGGAAATGGGGAGAAAGGAGGGTGTACACTGAGGAGCAAAATATCAGGAGAGAGGGGGACTTGAAAAGCGGTATGGAAAGTTAAACAAAAAGACAGCCAGACTGCGCTATAGGATTATATTTTGTTACGTACCTGCTGTAGAAATCGTCTCTGTAGTAGTCATAGTCAAACTCGTAGCCACTGTAAAGATAAAAGACTTTGTTTTCTCTCTTTCTGTTACAGTGTTAAATGCATGACAGGTACATATACACACGTAAACTGAATAATCTATAATATAATCTGTATATAATTTGTTAAGAGATAATTGGCCCTTGGAACCTTGGTCAACTTTCTCCTATCCTTAGATATTCTATGTTCTAGGCTCAGCTATGAAAATTAAAATTTTAAAGATTAAAAAATGAAAGCCACATAATATAGTGATGTCTTAAATTAGCTAATGTTTGCAAACGCTAGTACACTCACTAGAACTTTTAAAATTACTGTAATATTGAGGGTTTTTTGTTTTGTTTTTTTTACTTACTGTACTTATTGTAATATTGTGTTTTTTACTATTCTATTATTGGGTAATATTGTGTTTTTTGTTACTTGCTTTCTTTTGTTGCATATGACAATAAACATCTTGAACTTCAACTTGAACTAGATGTGTGAACCGAATAATCTGTAATGTTCTAATGTTAGCAAAACACTAGCTAACTATCTAGCTAGTCTACATCAATCGTTAACTGGTTAGTTACGACTGATAAATGATGATTAGTCAGCTAACTAGGTTATGTTCAGTTAGCTTAGCTTAGCTGCAAGCAGGGGAACAGTTAGCCTCACTTTGTTAAACACTAATCTACCGACCTCTAAAGTATTTTTTTTTTTTGTATGGATTAAAGAAACAAGAAAGAAAACCACAATTGGTTGTTTTATGTTGGCATATTTACTATCTTTGTTTTTGCTAAGCTAAGATAGGCTAACAAGCTGCTGATTTCAGCTTCATATTTATCATACAGACATGAGACTGGTATCATTCCTCCCATTTAAACTTTAGCCAGAAAGTAAATAAATGTATTTCCCAAAAGGTTAAAGTATTACTTTGAATATGAGGCTACAGCCAGCAGCTGGTTATCTTGTCTTAGTTTACAGGAGGCTCTGTGGCTTTATTACTCTGACTGGTATATAACTGCCCATCAACAATAACATGTCATTTTTACATGTTTCTGTACAGATTAAAACAAACAAGATATACTGTTACAAGTTAATTAGTGCTTCAGACGTGCTGGTAATCAGATTGTGTTACAGGCTAGTTGTTTCCCCCTGTTTCCAGTCTTCCAGCTTCATATTTAGTGTACAGACATGCACACATCCACAGCACAAATCCAAAAATGTCACACAAGTCCTTTAAAAGCTCTATTTAACATGTGATTTTGAATTTCTCATAGCTTGTTAGGATGTCAGACTCTAAAATGACTATAAATATGAGTGAATATGTAAAAGCAAAAGACAAAAAAAGAAATAAATAAAAAAGGGGGAAAGCAGAGGTAGAGAATTGACTGTTCTCCCAGAAGCACCGGGCCTGCCAGTGAGCATCATGAGCACATATTTTACAGATAGCAGAATGCAAGCGCGGCGGGAAAAGTAGGTCAGCAAAGCAATATCCGACTCATACAGTAAAATAAGACTCACACAGACCTGTAGAGGGATGAGAGAGGCCTCTTGGAGCCCATCTTAGGCCTGTATGGTTTTGGCTCTCCTGCCATGTTGATATCTGAAAAATTAAGATCAATGAGTAGCAGCTCTTAATATATAAAGGAAAACATAATTAAGGCTGCAGCTAGAATAAAATGATGCAGAAAATGTGTTTTTAAAATACATATGCATTGTTTTTGAGAACATATGACTGGATATGTTTATGTGCTTTAGACTTTAAGAGCTTCCAAGCTGTTTAGTTATGACTGCCATAATACTGATAATACTGTGAAAATGAAAAAAAAAAAGGTTGATGTAGAACTTGGCATTTTCACACATCGCTGTTATGAAATATTTGCAGACATGTAAACGTTCATACCTCCAGAATGTCAGCCTGTAGATTGGAGAAATACTGATTAAAGAGTGTCTGTTAAAAAGAATCTTGTTATTAGAGTCAGATGTTTTTTCTATTGTCTCGGATTCTGTATTTGCACTCGGACTTGGCCATTGATCTCGCCAAATATTCTTTTTGGTCTCAATATCCTTAGTATCCTAAGTAACTTCCTCTTTCAAAGCAAAACTATTAATGAAGTGCGCTTGTTCATAAAACTAGTATTGGTTTAATTCAAAATCCACCAAGAACGGGCACTGACATTGGCAGTCGTGCAAATAAAAATGTCAATAAATGTCACTTGCAACAGTATGCCAGGCTACCAAAACCCATCTCACTGGAAATGGCAAAAGCATTTTTTTTTTTTTTCCTATCTCAGTCCTGACTGTCTCTCTCAGTTAGACTCGGACTTAGGTACTAGGAGTTAGGTGGTCTTGACTACAGCACTGTGAAATCAAGCAATATTGTCAAACGTTCTTTGATTCAAGCTTCTCACATGTCAGGATTTACTGCTTTTTCCTCTCTTATATGATTAAAAATGGAATATCTGTTGTTTTTGGACTATTGGTCGGACCAATATAACCTATAAAACCAGCCGTTTTCCAACAGCGCAACTTAAAACACAATCAACTTACCATCACTGGAGTTGGTTTTTTGAGACACAAGTGACATGAAAAAAAACAAACACACACAGTAACTTTCAGTAGCCCAACTTTGGGTGACGAGTGACACCGCTAATTAGAGGATTTTCTTTTGAGGAGAGAAAGAGTGCAAGGTGAGATTAGAGGAAGAGCATCGCTGACAAACGCTCGAGGGCTGATTCCCCTAAATCACTTCTCAGACACGGACACATCACACAGACTTCATTCTGTTCTAAATTTCACCTCTTGGGCAACCTCGCACATTTTTTATCCCCCCCCCCAATCTTAGAGAAATAATGAGGGGAAACTTTTCTCCAACATTCATTTAAACATTGCAGTGAAACTCTTCAAATTCAATGTTTTAAGAAGAAGCAAATTGTAAAAAAGAATTGTAAAAAAAAGTCTAGTGTGAACATTTAGGAGGCTTTATTGGCAGAAATGTAATATAATATCCACAGGTATGTTTTAATTAGTGTATAATCAACTGAAAATAATAATTTAAAAAAAGAAATATTCAAGAAACTTTACATTATTTTGCTATTTATAAATCATGTATAATCAGTAGGAGCAGTAGAAAAGTAGATTTTTAAATGTTTTCCAGTGCTGTTAACTCAGACAGTGTTATTGTAATTAGCTGCGCGTCTGGCTCTTGAATGTTAATACAGAACAAGTGTTAACTATCATCAGATACATGTGGCCTCTTGTGCACAAGAGGAGCAGCGTCTGGTCACATAACTCTCTCAGCTCCAAGAATTAATTTTTAACAAAATTACTGTCACATACATCACATCTACTGTTAATAACAGAACAACTTTCAGAAAGCATATAAAGAAATATCTTGTATAATATCCATGTAACTAGTTAAGAACATACCAGGGATGCACAATAATTATCCGGGCAGTATTATTGAGATAATTAGATTACAGCCAATAAATTATCAATCCATCATAATTTATTTTGAATTCTGAATTATCTGCAAAACGATGGATAAAAACCTGAGGAAGACTAGAGGCACATATTACACTGATCAGCCATAACTTTATGACCACTGACCGGTGAAATGAATAACACTGATTATCTCGTTATTATGGCACCTGTCAGGATATGAGCGACTTTGACAAAGGCCAAATTGTGATGGTTAGACAACTGGGTCAGAGTATCTCCAAAAACTGCAGCTCTTGAGGGGTGTTCCTGGTCTGTAGTGGTCAGTACCTATCAAAAGTGGTCAAAGGACCACTGGAGACAGGGTCATTAATGCACGTGGGGAGAGAAGGTTGGCCTGTGTGGTCCGATCCAACAGACGAGCTCCTGCTGAAAAAGTTAATGCTGGTTCTGATACATCACAGTTTGTTGCATATGGGGGCTGCATAACATTACGGTGGTCATAATGTTACGGCTGATCGGTGTGTGTGCTTTTAATATGGATACAAAATTAAACAATAAACAATGTAAGTAAGGAAATATTGTAAGCACACAACAATGGTGGCTGGTAGCCACGGAAAAGTAGAAAGGTAGAAAAGTTAAAGTCTACAGATGACTTTTTATTAAAAGTATTTGTTAAAGCTGGCAGAGGTTTGTGCTTTCTAAGCACAGACAGTATTGGGTTTGTGTGATGAGACTAACCAGGTAAATTAAGGTAGAAAGCATTGATTCTCTTAGTGATTTCTCTTCAGTCCACTGAAGCACTCAAAGACAAGCAGAAATGCGGAAAGCTTTGAGACAACTGAGAGACCGATTCTGCAAAAAAGGGGCTACAAGTTTGTGTTAGAACAGGGTACTTAACATCTTATTTATTTAGGAAAAAGAGGAGAGAAAAAAATTAAAGCCCCTTGAAATGCATTAGTGGACTACTGTGACTCATCTGTACACACCACATGGCTCTTGCCATGACTGACAGCCTCTTCTACCTGCCAAGAATCACACTGCACTGAACCATGCTGGTATCACTGAGTTTAGTCTGCCGGCTTGTCGTCACCGCTTCTGCTCAAACTCAGCTCAATCAGCCTAGAGTGCTGCTCAAGGTCATACACAAAAACACAAACAAATATCAAACACCCCCTTCCCCCTGCACACACGCACACGCGCGCACACACGCGCGCGCACACACACGCACACGCACACACACACAGAGGGAGAAAGGGTGGCGTGGGACCAGGAGGTCTTGGCTCTGTCTGCTCCACGTGTCTGAGCTGTCCTTGGGTTTCCGGCCCTCTCAGAGAGCCTGCTGATTTATGACACAGATCACTGTGTGTGTGTGTGTGTGTGTGTGATTCAGGTTGTTTGATGGAAAGAGTGTGTATTAAAAGGAATATACTGTATAATGCAAATGGAGCGAATACACACTGTATATACTTTATAAATCTTAGAGAGAGTGTTGATTATTTTGATCTGTAACTTTTAGGCCAACCAGTCTTAAAGGATAATTACGCTCTATTACAACCTGCGTCTTTGACACAAGGTCACAAGGTCCGCTCAGTGGCTGTTCTGGAGCTTTTGATTGCATCACACGATCTTCCTCAGCAAGTGGATAAGAAGTCTTGAAAGAAAAAAAAAGAAAAAAAATCAAAATTTTAAAATCCACCATCTCATCACAGCTAGGTAACTTCAGCTCCAAAGCAACAAAGTGGACCATGTAGTGATGATGTTTTTGCTTTTGCAGTTTTGGCCATCATTACTACCACTTAACATTAACAACAAAGTCATTACGGAAATCTGGGAACACAGCGACATTGCTAGCATGACAGGCTGATAATTTAGTGAAATATCTAAACCACTTTATTTGGAGTTAAAATCAAATGAATGCACAAACAAAATGTCAGTAATTACCCTTCATTGTACAGAAAAACTACCATTTGCCTTCATTCCAAATAAATTTGACTAATCAGGGCTTTGTTTAAAACCTGTCTTGACTTCTTTCATGCCACATTCCCAATTCAGAGTGAGGGCCAAAATTACTAAATTAAATTGTAGTAATATAGTGGAATTATAAGAGAGAGAGAGAGAGAGATGAAAAAGAGGCTTTGTTACAAAACACCATTTATGCACTAAGAAAAAGGCAATATTTATCATCTCACAGGCTCACGGTCCAAACATCTGCTGTGAAAAAGGCATAATCATAAATATAATTTGGTGTCAGTAAACAGATTTATAACCTAAATTTAACACTGGGATTTATTATCATACTAGTGAACTATTGTCAGAGACTATGCCAGATAATGTTCTGTTTTAAAAAATAAAGCTCATTTTTCTGCAATCAGCTGGGAATTCATTTTTCATACATACAATAAAACAAATTTAAACAGCAAATTCACCATCTACTCTACATTGCAGAAAAACACAGCCTGCCAAATCTTCTACTTTAAACCAGCTCTGGTGAGTACTGCATTTATCCCAAATGACCTGCAGGCCCAGCAGGTTTGGACAGACTTTACATGCATCTTAATTTGTGTGCCATGGGTTTCTCTTTGATATATTACTATTTCTTATGTGCAGCATGTGTCAGTGGAAATCTTTCTCTAATTTGCATACAGTATCATTAAAATATTTTTTTTCTGCTTTGCATGCAGAATCATTAAAATGAGCAACTATTTGCACAAGAGTGTAATGTGTGCTGAGTGCATGTAAATAGGATGTGTGTTTGGAAATGAGCGTGAGATTGTGTGTGTGTGTGTGTGTGTGTGTGTGTGTGTGTGTGTGTTGTGTTAATGTGTGCAGAACCATATGTTTGTTAGTATTTTTCCACAAGGGGTTTGCATCTGCATTCAGGTCTCTCTCTCTCTCCCTCCCTCTCTCTCTCTCTCTCTCTCACACACACACACACACACGGAGGCCTGCAGAGGGA